TCTCTTCCTTCCCTCTAGATATCTTTACGAACATGACTGAATGAAGTATTTCATTGCAAAGGTGTAGGCAGTACAGTACTTTAATTCTCTCTCTCTCTCTCTCTCTCTCTCTCTCATTCTGTCTGTCTCTCATTCTGTCTGTCTCTCCCTGTGATATGGAGATTAATGAGCTGTGACTGTGATATCACTCCAGGCAGATAAAGAGGCTCCTCTCTCACATATGGTGGCTGTGGTTAACTCCATGCTGGTTAGACCGTCTCCGTATCGGCCTTGTCCCAATCTGACTTGCCTTGCTCAATCTGCCTAAAATGAAAGAGACTGTTTAACTCCTAAAAACTAATTAGAGGGAGGGGAGGCCCCTAAGTGTTAAATGAGAGACAGACTTTCTCCTGCTTTATCTAACTCTTTAAGAGATTTTAAAAATGTGAGATAATTCATATCTCCATTTCTTCCAACCCATTTCCTCTGTAGACTCAGCATGACGGCTCCGCACTCAGTCTCTGCATGCTGCAACATCAGGCAACTGGAAACAGCTGCAAATGTTGTAGAATTTGTTACGCTTCAGACAAATTCAGAGTCAATGCAAGAAGCAAGACATATTAATCATTAGGCTGGCAATATAATGAATGTGTATTTTTCCTAATATAGGAACCTCCAGACTAAACACAGACACCAAAATATGTCTTACAGTGCTGTAGTAATACCCGTGCACTGTGTCCTCCAATACTGTAGTAACACTTGTTCAGTTGTCCTCATTAGCCCTTAGCTGAACCCCTCAGCCGTCTTAAAGAAACTGTTTGGCAAAAAAAATCAGTGTAGCACAATTTTTACTTGAAACTAATGTTAATTTTACCGGCTCATTTAGATTAGTCTTAGTTTTAATATTCTGATGAAAATAGATTTCATAGGTTTCATAGATTTCCTTGTCATATTTTAGTCATTCAATTTTTATTAGTCTAAATGTACTTGACAAAAATATACTGCAATTTTAGTAAACTGAAACTGAACTTTTTTAGTCAAAAGAAACTAAAGATTTTAGCTTTTCCCCCATCAAATTTCCCCAGTATATTCTTTTTACATTTCTAAAACTGTCCCATCTGTTTACGATTTGACGTGTATTTGAAGTGCATGATTAACAACATTAACAAGTTGTGTTCACATATGGGAAAATAATGAAATAGTGTCATGTTGCTATCAAAGTGTGTTTGCTGATATCTGCTGACAAACACACACAGAGTTTCAGGCTGATATTTTCCTCTGCTCTTCTTCCTCAGGAGGCCTACATCACGGGGTTGCAGGCAGAGACTTCATACTCAGTTACCGTGGCAGCGTACACAACTAAAGGTGATGGGGCTCGGAGTAAAGCCAAGGTGGTGACCACTACAGGGGCAGGTAAGGGTGTATTGTAAGGTGTATTGTAAACATGTAAGGTGCATTTATGATGGATATATTAATAAGTGATTCATTACACATATTTAACACCCATATTCAGTTTTTTATGAGCGGTGGATGAAGTGTTACTATATGCCATTAATCACACTGTTAATCTTTGCCTGTTCATTTCATTAATATTTAGTAGTTTTAATTTCACTCACTTTCTAACAGCTGGTTGTTGCCAGTAAGCTCATAAGGAGGATTGCTCATAAAAAGATAACATGTGAACGTACTGTACCTAGTACTTATGTCCTGTTAATGAAGATAATAATCTTTAGCCACTTATCCATGTGAAAGTTTTATTTTATTACTTCTTTATTTTATTACTTAGGTTTCACTGATGTTCGCTTGTGCATGTATTGTTTGGCATTGTTTGAAGGATTTTAAGCTAAGTAGCATGTCACATTAGCTAGATTAGGCTATCTAGTTTTGTAATGTGTATATATAGTGTCTATACAGCTCCACTGTGTCTGTCCTTTTGTCTCTTTCTCTCAGTGCCAGGTAAGCCCACTATGATCATCAGCACTACAGTGGGTAACACAGCTCTGATCCAGTGGCAGCCTCCAAAAGAGACGTTCGGCGAGCTGTTGGGCTTCAGACTGCAGTATAAACGCCAGGACGACAATGATAATGATGACAAAGATGACAATGATGAAGGCTCGTTCATCACGCGCCACTTCATGCGCACCGATGACCACTTCACCGTCACCGGGCTGCTCAAGGGCTCCACTTATAGCTTCAGACTGAGTGCCAAGAACCGAGCTGGCCACGGAGAGGAGCACGTTAAAGAGGTTACAAGAGTCACAGTGAACACTGGCTTTGAGTACCAATAATGCATTCTAATCATGTCATTATAAGGCACCTACAGTATGTTAACTTGTCCTGTCGATTTCCCCTTGGTTGAATGGTCCATTCATGATTTTTAGTTCAGATGAGAAACACCACTAGAAAAAATAGCTTCTAAAGCTAACTGCTCAAACAGAGCAAACAGAGCAAGCTAACTGTATTCACTATGTACACTCACCGCAAGCACCAACAACATCTGCTACTACCTCCACACTTTAATTTTCTTAACAACATGATGACAGGATAGGATAAAACCATAGATATAGGATTTTCTTCTATTTTTGCATGTCAAACAGTAAATGTGATCTAACTGAAAGTAGGAACTAAAGATGTAAGGATGTTGACCACAGAGATCGAGGAGTCATTTGAGCAAGTCAGTTCCATTTGTCGCTTTACTATGCCATACCTAATCTGCATTGAATTAAGAACATCTCAGTTTAACTACCGTATGTAGCATTGATGCTTGCCACTGTTGCTGAAATTACAGCTGTCGGGGACGTAAATAGAAAATGTCTGGTCAACAAGTCAACTGTTGCTTTGTCACTCGCTAGTGTGAACCAAATAGTACTGTAGGGTGGCACTACTGGGAAAAGCTAGGAGTGCACTGCAGGTTCCCCTTCAAGGAACTCTGTGAGGGCTATAGATTGGTTAACAAAAGTAGGTGATATGACTTTGGGCAGAAATTCCACATTCAACCACGAGGTCATGTCAACCATCAGTGCTTGCAAGGCGAGCTTATCACCAAGGCATGTAGTTCTTCACTCTTTTTGCTGAAGTGATTGCTAGCAAAAAAAAGGCAGTCTTTAGAGAGACTCATTTCAGTTCGACTTACATAGTCTTATAAAGGGGGTGCTTATAAAGGTAATGACTTCAGTACAAGACCACATCGGATATTTGCAGGAACGTAGCAGACGAAGGTGCCTTGCTCCCTTCAGAAAGGCAGCTTTGTCTTCATGACAGGTTTATGAGATTCCAGTGAGACACTGTCCACGGTGCTATGATGCATTGCAATGGCTGCAAGCAGGTCTGATCTGTGGTTTGATTGCTGAATTTTGTGCATTGTGGGCAGGATCAGTAGACAGTGAGGCCACTCAGTGCACCCTGACCTAGTGCATTGTCCTACTCTGCCAGGGAACACCAGAGTAGAGTCAATTTGGCATCGGTGAAGAGGTCCATCTGTGCCCTGCCAAACTTTTCCCAGATCTGGAACACCCCTTCTGGGTGCAGATGGCACTCTCCCAGGCATATGTGCTGTCTCCACAGTGTGTTCTATTGAAGCTGTGGTTAGCAATCCTAACATGTATGTTGTGTAGAACCACTTGTTCTGAACCACAGGGTTTACTCTTTTGATTGTATCTCTGTGCAACATATAGTAATGTTTACGTTGCATGATTCTAACATGTCCCACCTTGCTGTATAAGTGGCAGCACCTGCTAAAGGGCACACGACATAGTTTTATAGTCTGGACAAAACCATGTACTTGGAATTACACTTAATATATTTAAGATTATTATACTTTGGAAGTATAGTGTTTCACCTTCCAAGTGTTTTCACTTTAGGTCACAACCCCTGAGGACACACCTAGTGGTTACCCACAAAACCTCAGTGTGGTGGGATTGAGCTCCACCTCAACAACTCTGGCATGGGCACCACCGCCACTGGGGCAGAGAAACGGCAAAATTGTGCGCTATGATATTGTGTACCGTGACATCAACAGTGTAAAGAATCAAACCAACAGTACAACAGAGACACGCATGAGCATCAGCGGCCTGAAGCCTGACACTACCTACGACATCAGAGTGAGAGCCTTCACCAGGAAAGGACCAGGACCTTTCAGCCCCAGCATTCAGAGCAGGACCATGGCCACATCTGTGCCTGGTGAGACATACACACACACGCACACACGCACACAAAGACACAGAGTTATTAATACTGAGCAGAACAGATGGTGGTAGCTGAAACACTGGGGCAGGACAGGCACGGCTTGTGCTTACAAACACACACACACACACACATGTATACAGCCTAAAGGACAGACAGCTATGAACAGTTTGCCTCTGTGTCCTTTAGTCATTATACCATGATCATTTAAAATACTCGTATCTGATTGGCTGGCATTTCTGATTGTCTAGCAGGTGTCTATTACTAGCATGAATGTACACAGAAAGGGATTATTTACAGGTCACAGTGCATAGAAATGTTAGAGTAAAAATTAAGAGCAAGAGAAAGCCTGCTGAGCCATAACAACTATATAATGATAGCCTATTGATATACGTCAGGTCTAGAAAATTGGCAAAAATAAAATGACTGTGAGGTTACTATATTCAAATATAAGAAAGTGAAAAAGGAAAGGGAAAAAAAAGCTTTAAAATGTGGTGAAGTATCTGTGGGATAAACAAGATAAGGGTTCCTGAAGCAGTGTGGTGTTCTTCACCTTCACTCTTCTGATATCAGGCCACTTCATTGTGTATTATCTCTTATATTTAGTATAATAATACTTAAGTACAGTTGTCTTGTGATGTACGTAATAGTGTGTGTGTGTGGGGGGGGGGGGGGGGGGCATAAATTGAAAAATTATGACTGTAAACACTGCTACAGTGAACATCGTGTTATGGAGGAGGATTGTAGTAGTGTCTGGCGTGAGCAGATGGGTCGTTAATAACAATAATAATAATAATAATAATAATAATAATAATAATAATGAGATTTACTTATATAGGTCCCTGGAGGACTAGTGGTTAGGCCACAGTGCTCTCACCGCTGTGGCCTGGGTTCGGCTCCCGGCCAGGGAACCAAAACCAGTGCAACAGTGCACTCTCAGTGCCGGTCCCAGGCCTGGATAAAATTGGGGAGGGTTGTGTCAGGAAGAGCATCCAGCATAAAAACTCTGCCAAATCAAATACACGGTCAAATGATCCACGGTGGCGACCCCTAACGGGAGCTGAAAGAGTAACAACAACAACGACTTATATTTTCAAGCAGGGTCAAACAAAGTGCTTTACAGAGAGTGTGTAAAAGATAAAACAATAAAAGAATGAAAACGTAATAAGAGGAAAGTAAAACAAGTGTAGAATAAAGCCCTGGGGTAACAGTCCACTAATTGAAAAACAATAACAAGTAAATTGGTTTTAAGTGAATATCACAGAAGATCACCAGACCGCAAACCCCAGGGATGAGAATCATCCATTTATTTCATGGACTTCTTTGCTTTGGTGTTAAGTCTCAGTTTGAACATGTTTATGCCGCAGGCAGAGACTTTCCCCATGGACTGGGTGACTGAAAACCTTTAGTCTTTAATAAACCAGCCTTATTAAGAGGTTTACCAGTGTTATGGTTATAATACAGATAATCGTAATAACACAGAAGCAGGACCAACAGACAAGGGACCTCATTACACCAAACACTAGAAACAAAGCTAGAGACTGCACCAAGAAACCGCACAGAGACCTGCAGATGCTGATGTCACATTTTACGCTTGGCTGAATAACAGCTTTTTAATGTTGCTGTGTGTCTAAATAATTTGCCTGAATGTTGCCTAAAATGTGTTATAAAATTTAGGGTGCCCTTTTTCAATAAAACAAGGCATGATGACATTTTAACATTTAAATTCATATTTTATCTAATGTTTAAAGTGCCTACTCAAAATGAATGTGTGTGTGTGTGTGTGTGTGTGTGTGTGTGTGTGTGTGTGTGTGTCTGTGTGTGTAAAGAGAGTTTCAGCATATACTCAGTCTATGACTCCTTCTATTTAACAGAATTTGCCAAAAACTTTGGGGTGAAAGCTGCAACAAAGACCTCAGTACTGCTCACGTGGGAGGTGCCCGAAACCTACAAACCTCAAGTGCCTTTTAAGGTGACTCAAACACACACACACACATACACACCAAATAGCCAGAGTTGTATCAATAGCAAACCTACAGGCAGACATGTGGATAAATAGCTTTGCTGATCTTGGAATGGCACCAACCGGTTAGACAATGGTTCAGAGCAGAGGAAACATCCTCATCATTGCAAAGCTCACACAGCAAAAACAGTCAAGTACCACATTCAGTTTGTACTCTACACACATCAGGTCCACCAACACCCAATAAACAAGAAAACAACACGGCAAAGCCCTCAACCGGAAATGAAGCACACACTCACAATTGCACTCAAAATCATATTCAGTGTGATTAAGCTCTAACACACCCACGTAGTACACTCGCCAAAGTCTGTTAAAGAGCTGATGAGTTGAATCAGGTGTGTTAGAGAAGGAAAAATAAAAAAATATGCATGCCAGAGCTACTACAGGACCAGGAACCACCGCTGAGAACTACAAACTCCTGATGTAGTGTGTGTGTGTGTGTGTGTGTGTGTGTGTGTGTGTGAAAGCAGAAAAGAAGGAGAGAAAAAAAAGCAGAGGTACAGATGGTATGCTGAAGGTCAGAAGAAAAAAGTATGTGTGTGTGTGAGAGAGAGAGAGAGAGAGAGAGAGAGAGGCAAAAGAGTGCACTCATGTCTGTTTCCAACGTGCATGTGTATAGCTCTCTCCATGTGTTAATGTGAGCGCCCTCTTCTGCCTGATCCTGTATAACCACCAGAGTGATGATTAGAGGAAGGGAAAGGCAGACAGAGGCATGCAAAAAAAAAATAAAAGAGAAAATGGAAAGGTAATTAAATTGAAGGGAAATTAAAGGGAAAGACAAATAGAGGCAGTAAAAAGAGCGGAACAGACAGTCAGAGAGAAAGATGAAGGGAAGACGTAGAGACAAAGTTAGACATAGACAGACATTCACTTATAGGCACTGTCTAGGGTACATGGCAAAAAACTTAGTAAGTAAATGTAATTAATAATCATTTTAAAACCTTCACCCATAATTCCTATCCATACCTTCACACACCTTCCCCTCAATTTAAACATCTTGCCTTGGATTATGACATGTTTTAACAGTATCAGGCAGTTAGCTAACCCATCACCTTGTGTTAGTTAATTACCAAACAAATATATACAAATGGATTATTTGTCACAGTAAAGCCAAACAAAAGGCATACACCACTTTTCCCTTACCACCGATGTGGTTTTAGATCCGGATGTAAATGTGGCCCCAGTACAGGAGTTAATTTTATCCACTGCAACCTGCATGCAAGTGACAGTCCAGCAGTAGTAGTGTTCGTGTCATTTAATTCTTGTATAATTTAAAACTCAGATGTTTAACCCAAGTCACTGCCCATGTATAGACACACTATTGGCTGTTTTGTCACATCAGCCGCAGGGCTTTGGTGAGTTTGTGTATCTGTGTTAACATGAGCACCCTCCTCTGGCAGATCCTGTATAACCAGCAGAGCGTGGAGGTGCAGGGCGATCTGCGGAGGAAACTGATCACCCGTCTTCAGCCCGACACCGAGTACTCGTTTGTGCTGATGAACAGAGGCAGCAGTGCCGGAGGACTGCAGCAGCAAGTGTCCATCCGGACAGCCCCGGACTTGCTTGACAAAAAGCCCAGCCGCTCAGCTCATGAGTCCGCTGTGGGTGGAAGAGTCACTCTAACCTTGCCCACAGTGACCGCCGGTGCCTCTGCACATATCAGGTCTGCACCATACACCCAATAAAACACACACAGCCAGTCACAGGCCCATGGACATAGTGTGCAGACAGTTACTTTTTACAGACTTTTATGCTCAGCTTTATTTCAAATGATTTAAACCAGTATTTCGTGACTGCCGCACCCTCATCAGAACCCTCTGGTCTAGGGCAGTGCAGGGATTTGAGATGATGCAGTGGTCTGGACAGCAGAATCCAAAATAACCTGACTCACAAATCAATGCTTATCTTACAGTTTTGGTGCAAGATTCCACTGAATCCCTTTGAGATTAATCTCTTCACAGAGGGATCTATTACAGGTGATTTTATTTCCATGACAGTCTGCAGTGTTTGTGTCTCTGCCTCTCTCCAGTGGACTGATACTCTTAGTCCTGTGTAGATACACATTGTACACGCAGATGTTGTCTCTTGCACTGGGAAACATTTTTGTCTGCTGCTACCTGCTGCATTTAGTCATACTTTTAAATGCTTCCTGCAGTCACAAGGCGATAAGTGATTTAAAAGCATCTCTCAAACCTCTTCACTGGGAACTCATTAGAAGGTAAAAGAAAATTAAGGCTATTATAAGAGCAATATTGTGAGCAGGCTGTTATAATGACAGCCATGGGTAGAAAGCTAAATTTTATATTCACAAAGGGCATTGGGAGATTCAAATGTATTTATTAATGTGTTAGTAAAGCTGAGTAAATGTTTTCCTAGGCCAAATTGAACTAAGAGTTGTCGGCAGATTTCCATAAATTTCGGTAATGTTGATTTGACTTTGTTCTCATGTGTTGATAAATACCAGTGACCTATAAATTACCACGCTCATTCATGGCACAGCTGATTTACATTGAGTGATAGCCCCAAAACTCCATAAAAAGGCAAAGCTCACAGAGCTGAAAATGACAAACTGACGACAAAATGGTGCACTAAATTTTCCACTAATGCAGCTCAGCCATTGCAGCGTGTTGGCTACCAGACACAGACTGACTTTTCCCCCCTTTATAGGCCCCCTTTATAGGGTGCCATTTCTTTGTCCTAACTGAGAATCTGTCTTAATTTGTGAATTTGTTTCAGATTGCTTTCTTTCAAGTCATTATTATGAAACTGATTTTCACTTTTTTTTCACGAAATTTGTGTGTGTAATTGAAATAATTAAGATACTTCAACTAATCCATATACAGTATACATTTGCAGTAACTCATAGTCGTGAGTCTCCTTATATGTAAATTTACACAAACTCAGGAGCTCTCCAAGGATAGAAAGGTTGTTGAGTTTTTTTAACTAACTGTATTTTCATGAATATCACATTTCTTGTGTACATGCACCTGTGGACAATTAAAAAAATAAATCTGCTCATATCCAGCTTGATAAATGAGGCTCACTGAGTTGTAGAAGTAAATTAAATAAATTTATGACTCAGAGGCAACAATAGAATGGAGTAGATGCAAACCGTGAGTGACATAAACATCCAGGTTGGAAGGAGAAGACCTCTTAACTTGCCTTAATTCATAGCCATCTAGATGCAAGGTGGAGAAATATAGAGCTCACACTGGCTTAAGTTATTTAGCTCTCTGTGTTTCAGAGATTTATGTAGGCAAGATGAGTGTGTGGTTTAACTGCAGTCGAATATTGCTTTAGTGTGTATTACTGTCCACTACTACTGGGTCATCCTCAAAGCCTGCTTCTATTCCTTTACTCGTATTTGTTCCCTACTCATTCCAAGCTCTTAAACAAGTGGCTTTCCTTCACTTCCATAGCGTGTGCACAGAACCTTTTGTCTAGGGCAGTGCACGGATTTGAAATAATGCAGTGGTCTGGACACCGGCAGCAGAATCTAAAATAACCTCACTTGTTTGTGGCTCACAAAGCCGGGGCCCTATAACCTCTGTGATTTGAAGAACACGAACATTTAAAGAAATAAACAATCAAAGAATTAAGACATAAAAAATGTATCTCAGATATAAATATGGAAATGAATGGGGTTTGGATCTTAACTGCAAAATACATATCGCAAAAAATATTTCAATGATTTTAAAGCACCATAGCTCAGCTCATCCAGTTAGTAGTCCAGTCTTGGTAAAACCAAAAATGGGGAAAGAATCCAACAGATTTCATAGCATTGTATAAACCATTGATTATTTAACAACTTATAGTGTAATGCTAAATTAAAGTTAGATTTAAAATACATTTACTGTCCTTACTATTGATCAGTCAAAAGTAGCCTGA